CCCAGCCGGTGTCCGTCGGCAGGTGACGGCGGGGCAGCTCCGGGAGCGGGGCAACGCGCTCTTCCAGGCGGGGGACCACGCCGCGGCCCTGGCCGCCTACACGCGGGCGCTGAGCCTCTGCGACGCCGGGCCCGAGCGAGCCGTGCTGCACCGCAACCGGGCCGCCTGCTACCTGAAGCTGGTGAGGGACGGGCGGGTGCGTCACCCTGGGCCCTGCTGCCACCTGCCCGGCCGCCCCGGCCTGCTGGGGCTGTGCTGCTGGGGCAGCCGCCGACACCCCGCCTTCCCCGGCGGCACGCCTGCGCTGGGAGGCGATGTCGGTCCCCGGGCAGGGCGATCTCAGTCCCCGGGCAGGGTGGCGTTGGGTGTTTCCTCCACTCACCTTTCCTCCTGGCCCTGACCACCATCCTGTGCTGCCCCACATCCCTGGGGGGCTGTCATTGCCCAGGCAGGGTGCTCCCATCTCTCTCCGGGCTGTGTCTGTGCTGTGCGTACACTCTGGGGCTGTTCCCCAGGCGGTCACAGCATCTCTGATCTCCCACCATGGAACTGTCTCTGAGGCAACAGGGAATACAAGGAACTTCAGGGACTTGGGTGGACTGGGAGCACTTGAAAAGATTCAGGGGGCCCTAAGGCCCCTCGAGGACCCCATGAGGGTTGCATTCTGGGGATGTCTTACTGGGCTGGCTTGCTGTCTTCGGTGACACTGTTCCTATCCTCAAACCCCACAGTCCTTTCCCTGCTCTTCTTTCTAAAAGCAGTGGGTGCTGTCTCTGCCTGCAGCAGGCAGGGCTGACTGAGGCCGGCACGGGCAGCGCATCAGGCATTTCCCTCTCATGGCCTGTCTCTCTCTGCAGGAGGACTACGCCAAGGCAGAGGCTGATGCATCTAAAGGTACTGTCAGTGGTGGCTGCCAGGGCACCCGTCTCTGTGTGCTGCCCGTCCGGGCAGACCGGAGCCGTCCGGGGGCTCTGCCATAGGTCCCCTGCTCGTCCGCAGCCATTGAAGCCGACGGCCGGGACATGAAGGCGCTGTTCCGCCGCAGCCAGGCGCTGCAGAAGCTGGGCCGCCTGGACCAGGCTGTCAGTGACCTGCAGCGGTGTGTCAGCCTGGAGCCCAAGAACAAGGCCTTCCAGGAGGCCCTGCGCGCCCTGGGGAGCAGCATGCATGAGAAGGTGAGTGGGGAGGCAGCGCGTGGGGGTCTGCTGTCGCTGTGGCCCCCCATGGGTGCGGTGGGCTGAGGGAAGCGGTGAGAGCTGAGCTGCTCTTTCTGCTCTGTCTCAGATGAAGACCATGTCCTGCACGGACTCAAAGGTGCAGCAAATGTTCCAGATCTTGCTGGATCCTGAAGAAAAGGATGCGGACAAGAAGCAAAAGGTCTGAGTTCTGGGGAGGGGAGGGCAGTGTGGCTTGACTGGGGGGCAGGGAGGGACGGAGGGGGACTCCCAGTCAGCACAGAGGGAGGACGCTGGACTTCCCCCCAGCAGAAGGTGCTCCCCAGAGGCTGGGGGCGAAGGCGGGTGCCTGTGGCTTTCCTGTGCACAGGGGGCTGTGTTCTGGTGGGCAGGTGACCCAGACATGACTCTCCTTTCCCAGGCTGCGCAGAACCTGATTGTGCTGGCGCGAGAGGAGGCCGGAGCAGAGAAAATCTTCCAAAGCGATGGCGTGCGGCTGCTGATGCAGCTGCTGGACACGGCCAAGGCTGACCTGATGCTGGCAGCCCTGCGCACCCTGGTGGGGCTGTGCTCTGGCCACCGCTCCCGGGTAGGTCCCAGCGTAGCCCGGCTCTGCTGCGGCACGGGGGAAATCTGTGTCGGGGGGGCTGCAAAGGGCATCAAGCAGGGAAGGGTCACCGGCCTCTGCCTGCGGCTCTGCTGAGCAGAGCAGCTCTGAGCTGCCACCTGCCAGTCTTGTCGTGACAAGTGTGTCCTGATAATGTGGTGGGAAGAGCCAAGGCTCCCCCAAGGTCTCCAGCGAGCCGCTGTGCTTGTCCCTGCAGACCATGGCCATCCTGGCGGAGCTGGGGTCCCCCCGTCTCTCGGCAGTGCTGGGTGTGGAGCACGAGCAGGTTTCCCTGGCTGCCTGCAACCTCCTGCATGTGATGTTCGATTCCCTGAAGGAGGGGCTGCAGAAGGACTTTCGTGGCAAGGAGGATGCAGTAGTGCTGGGTGAGTGCCTGCTGGGCTGGTGTGGGGTGGGGAGAGCACCCTGGGAAGCTGCTGAGGTCCTTCTGCTGCCCACTTTTTTGCTGCTCCTGCCGCAGAGCCGGGGCTCTGGTCTGGGGTTACTATGAGGTTGATCTGGGAGGCAGGAGCCCCTGGTCATGGCAGTGTCTCCTGCCAGCCTCACCATGGCAGGGCTGAGGCCTGTGCCCAGGGCGCTGACTACTGGGCACCCTCTCTTCTGGAAGATTCCTCCAAGGACCTGAAGCTGCTGATCAAGGACCTGCTGGAGCTGTTAGCTCTGGAAGGGGCTTCTGCGCACGGCCGTGACAACGCCCTCAACCTGCTCATCAAAGTGGTGCCCAGGAAGTCGCCGAAGGAGACCAACAACAGCATGAGCCTCTGGGTGATCGACCAGGGTGAGGGGGACTGCAGTGTCCCCTTGGGGTGTCATGCCCCTCTGCCTCAGGGTGCTGCACACCGTGGCTCCACCCATGCACCCCCTTTTGCTCTTTGGTGGGTGTTTGACCTCTGTGTCCTCCTAGGCCTGAAGAAGATCCTGGAGGTGGGAAGCACAGTGTACGGCATCCCAGGAGGCCTGCCTGTGACAGAGAACAGCCGGATGAGCGCCTCGGTTCTGCTAAGCAAGCTTTATGATGACCTGAAGTGTGATGCTGAGAGGGAGAACTTCCACCACTTGTGCGAGGACTACGTTAGGTGAGCTGGGGCATCGTGGGGGCATGGGGGGGTTCAGTCTCCTACAGCCAGCAGCCTTCTGGGGAAGCAGCAGCCCCCCTGTTGCCAGACCTTTCTGTTCTTGCTGATACAAGCAGATTACAGACCCACCAGAGACCATGCTGGGGTTCATCAGGTGGGACTGTGTATGGGTGGGATCAGCCTTATCCTCCCCTGTGGTCTTCTCCTGCAGGAGCTGGTTCGAGGGGCATGAGCTGGCGGGGAAGCTGCGGGCCATCCAGGCGGTGTCGTGCCTGCTGCAGGGCCCCTCAGATGCCGGGAACAGGGTGCTGGAGCTGGAGGGCATCATGGACAGCGTGCTGTCCCTCTGCGCCTCCGTCTGCGAGGCCCACCAGCTGGTCGCGGTGGAGGCGCTGATCCACGCTGCCGACAAGGCCAAACGCGCCTCCTTCATCACCGCCAACGGCGTCAGCCTGCTCAAGGAGATCTACAAGCACAGCGAGAGGGACAGCATCCGCATCCGGGCGCTGGTGGTGAGCACGCTGCGACGGGAGAGCCGGCTGTGCCGAGCCCTTGGGTGGTGCTGGGCGGGCTGTGGCTGCAGCGTGCAGCACTGGGGGGCTTTGGGAGGCCCGTCGGGGCCACCGCGGCCTTTCCCGCTCTGACACTCTGCTCCTGGCTGCAGGGGCTCTGCAAGCTGGGATCCGCCGGAGGCACCGACTTCAGCATGAAGCAGTTTGCCGAGGGCTCCACCATGAAGCTGGCCAAGCAGTGCCGCAAGTGAGCGCTGCGGGGGGCGTGGGAGGGGGTGTTGGGCAGGGCACCCCACAGCCGCTCACAGGACCCCCTCTGCCAGGTGGCTCTGCAATGAGGCCATTGACGCGGGCACCCGGCGCTGGGCGGTGGAGGGCCTGGCCTACCTCACCTTTGATGCGGACGTCAAGGAGGAGTTCGTGGAGGACAAGGCGGCCATGCAGGCCATGTTCCACCTGGCCAAGGTGTGTGCTGACCACTGGGGGGGGAACCTGAGCGGTGGGGAAACGTGCCGGAGGGGCTTGTGTGGCTTGGGTGTGTGGAAGGGGGAGCGGTGCTGGGGGGGCTGGAGCCCTGCTCTGTTCTCCCTGGTTGGGGTGTGATGGGTGCCCCCTTGTCGCTGCAGTCAGAGGACAGGAGTGTGCTCTACGCCGTCGCCTCCACACTAGTGAACTGCACCAACAGCTACGACCATGAGGAGCCGGACCCCCAGATGCTGGAGCTGGCCAAGTATGCCAAGCAGCACATTCCGGAGCAGCACCCCAAGGTGGGCAGGGCACGGCTGTTCTCAGGGGCAGCCCTGGCTCCACAGGAGAGTGTGCGGGTGGGTGTCATGGTTTGGGGACAGAGCCCGAGGTCCCGAGTGGGGACAGGGTGTCCTTGGGGCCTTCAGGGGTGAGGTGTGAGACCTTCTGGCAGGTGGCAGCAGACTGGTGCCACCGAGCCAAGCAGTGACCCTGCCTCCGGGACAGGACAAGCCAGACTTCGTGAAGCGCCGGGTGCGGAAGCTGCTGGCGGCCGGCGTGGTGTCGGCTCTGGCCTGCATGGTGAAGAGTGAGAACCCGGCGCTCACCAACTCCTGCCGGGAGCTGATCTCCAGGTACGGGTGTGTGGGGAGGGAGCTGGGTGCTGGGGCTGCCGGTGGCAAGTGCAAGCTCCCAGGGGAAAAAAGGGGGGGTGTGGGGGTGTGGCTCAGAGGGTGTCTGTGTGCTCCAGCTGCTCCCACTTTGTCCCTAGAGTGTTCCTGGCACTGGTGGAAGAGGCGGAGGACCGGGGCGGTGTTGTCGCACAAGGAGGAGGCAAGGTGAGGGGATAAGACCCACTGTGGCTCTGCCATGTATTGGGGAGGGCTGGGTCTCTGGGGGGGTGGCTCCTTGTACGGGTGAGGGGGGGAAGCTGGGGCAGCTGTGACCTGGCTGCTGTGTCTCCCTGTAGGCTCTCATCCCGCTGTCACTGGAGGGCACCGAGGTGGGGCAGACCAAGGCAGCTCAGGCCCTGGCCAAGATCACCATCACCTCCAACCCGGAGATGGCCTTCCCTGGAGAGCGGGTGAGCGTTGTCCCTGTGGGCCAGGGCATGGGGCTGCCGGGGGGGGGGTCTGTGTGGGAGCAGAAGTGTGCACAGACTGACCCCCGACTCTGCGCCACAGGGACTGCCAGCATGAGCATGCCCTTCCCTGGGGAGCAGGAGATGTCAAGACCCCTGGTGTTCCCCCCATGGCCTGGGCCTGACCATGGGAGCAGCTCTGCCCTTAGGCTGGGCTCCCGGCTCCCCGCATCCCCTGCTCCACGGGGTGCAGGGTCCTTGCCCCTCGCTCAGGGTCTGAGCCCTGCCTTGCTCTCTGCACAGATCTACGAGGTGGTCCGACCCCTGGTCAGCCTCCTGCACCTTCAGCGCAGCGGCCTGGAGAACTTCGAGGGGCTGATGGCGTTAACCAACCTGGCTGGCATCAGCGAGAGGCTGCGGTAGGGGCGGTGGGGCCAGCACAGAGCTGGGCTGTGGGGAGGGACAGGGGGGGCTTGTCTGTCCCTGCGTGTCCTGGAGTGCTCACGCATGCCCTGCCACAGGCAGAAGATCCTGAAGGAGAAGGCCGTGCCCATGATCGAGGGGTACATGTTTGAGGAGCACGAGCTGATCCGGCTGGCGGCCACCGAGTGCATGTGCAACATGGCCATGAGCAAGGAGGTGAGGGCCAGGGCAAGCTGGGCCTCTGTGCGGGGCTCCTGGACCCCCATCACCCTCATCACTTCCTCCTCTTCCTCTGCAGGTGCAGGAGCTGTTCCTGGCTGAGGGCAGCGACCGGCTGAAGCTGATGGTCCTGTACAGCGGGGAGGAAGATGAGAAGCTGCGGCGGGCGGCCTCGGGGACCCTGGCCATGCTGACTGCCCTGCACCCCCCTATCTGCAAGCGTATCCCCCAGGTGGTGAGTGCCCAGTGGTGGGGTGGGGGCACCCTGGACCCCCTGGGACAGTGCCTGGGGTCCCATATTCCCTCCCCTGGTGTCCCAGAGCTGTGTCCCAGTGCTGCCCCTGGGAGATGGAGCAACTGTGTCCTGGCCTCAGCCTGACTCTGAGCCAGGGCTCGGGGGCCAGAGGCATCAGCGCTGGGGGGAGATGGCCCCTCTGTGGCGGGGGGCAGTGCTGAGGGCAGCCCCACTCCCCCCCGCAGACGGTGCACTGGCTGGAGATCCTGCAGGCCCTGCTGCTGAGCCCCAGCGTGGAGCTGCAGCACCGCGGGGCCGTGGTGGTGATGAACATGATGGCGGCCGAGCGGGAGGTGGCTGAGCAGCTCATCGCCAGCGAGATGCTGGAGATCCTCTCCGTGCTCGCCAAGGACGAGGAGAAGCCGCGGGTGGCGCAGGCGGCCAAGGAGAGCCTGGCGCAGGCTGTGGCTTATGGCCTCATCAAGCCCAACACGGGCCAGGAGTGAGGGCCCGGCCGGGCGCACCGCACACGCTGCTGGGGCTGGCACTCGCTGCTGCCCCGGGACCCTCTCCCCGGCAGGGGACACGGCCGCCCGTGGGGGCTGGCACGCTGCTGCCCCGGGGCCGTGGCTGCTGCCCCGGGGCCGGGGGAGGACGGGGCTCGCCACTGCCTCTGCCACCGTCTGCCTTAAACCGGGAGGGCCGGCCCAGGGCCCTGTGCTGCTGGGCCCGGTACGGCGGGGGGGGACCGCCCGGTGTCACCGCATTAAAGCTGCTCTTGGACCACGGCCCGGTCTCTGTCCGTCCGTCTGCCATCCCCTCCCGTCCGGACCGCCCCTTCCCGCCCCGTCCGGTCCCTCCCCCCGCCCG